CCCTGATGGTCCATCCTGAGAGCCTGAGCATATGGGGATTAGAGGGGTGCATGTGGTGAGCGAGGGAGGGGTCTTGGGCTCCCTGGAAGGACCCAGGTCAAGGTGGGTGTGTTTTCAGGAAGGGGCGGAGGGGCAGCCCCAGAGGAATCCTGCCCTGGAGATAGCAAAGTCCCCAGGGTCCTTCCAACTTTAAAAACCCAGCTGCTCAGGGAGACAAAGGGTTTGTGTGCGTGAACCGGCCCCAGTGCGGACCTCCTGCCAGGAACCAACATCTGCCCCAGACACGTGTTCCCAGGCATCCCTGGGGAACACGGAGTCCATTGGAGGCCACCAGGTGAAGAGACTAAAGTGAGGAAGGAGAGAAACTCATCTTTGGTCACAGAGGGGCCGGAGGGGAAGGGCCCACTTCGTGCTGTTCCCCAGGCTCCCCCTGCCCTCCGACAAGGGTACAAACCCAAGAGGGAAGCTGAAGAGAGGAAGGCTGGGCACTTCTCCCTCCCTGGAGGCCTGTGCCCACTGCTGGATCTTCCGAGCTGTTGGGAATGCATGCAGGAGAATGGGTGGAGAGGAGGGGTGTTTTAAAGGCTAATAAGTAGGTGAGAACCCAGTATCTGGGGAAAGGGGAGGCAGGGATTTGAGAGCAGTAGTGTGGGTGTGCCTTCTAGGGGTCTGGTCTGGAGAGAACCCTAGGTAGGGGGCTTCTAGGAGATGACTCTGAGACTCTGGGCACAGCCCAGACTCAGAGGGAGGGGTAAAGTCAGAAGGGGAGGACACAACTCAAATGCATAGACAGTGACCAATGCAGAGGTTGATCTCTGAGCCCGGCTCCCAGCCAGCTGTGGGTTTGGCTGCAGGATTCAGTGCCCAGAAAACCCCCACCTCCTGGGACCTCATGGGGGAAAGAAATGCTGTACCCAAGTGGCCCCTGCCCTTGGGATCTGGGTGTGTGGCCCTGGCCCCTCTGTGACGGAGAGGGAAGAGAAGAGTAGGTCCAGCAAGTAGACACATCCCGCCCTCATAAGAAGATCTGGGAAGTGATCCCCTCCCTTCAGGGAGCTGTGGTCTGGGAGCCAGAATTTCCTGTTGTGTCCTATGGTGACACTGGCTTGAGGTGGAAGACCCGGATCCAAATCCCCCTCATCAGCTGCTCTCTGGTTGCACTCAGCTGCTGTGAACCCATCTCCAAGATGAAGAGAGGAACCGTGACCACCTCCTAGGTCTCAAGGGGACTTTTGCGGAAATACTTGTGGGAAAGGTAGGGCAGTGGGTAGGCACCTCGATGTGGATGAAAAAGCAATGAAGGAGCAAATACATGCCGCTCTAGGTGGGGACCTGCCCATTCCCGGTCACCAGTCATCGAAAGGCCTTGAGTGGAGGTGGGGCTGAGAGGCCAGGGAAACTGGATTTGGACCTCAGTCCTGGCTCTTTCTTTGCTTCTCTGTGTCTTTTGTCCCCCTTTCTGTCACGTCCCCCCTCTTCCACTGGAAGTGCCTAACTCAGCACCTGGCCCTGACACACAATTCTTTTCTTCTTGGTCTTCTCAATGGCCTCTCTGTTGCTCTGTGGTGCTCTCCCGCCACCCCCAACTCCATCTCTCTCCTCCTTCTGGGTCTCTGCTTCTGATACCCTCTTTGTCCCAGTCTCTCTGCTCCTGGCTTTCCTGCCATCTGTTTCTGCAGCTCTGTCTTCGGCTAACAGACATCCACTGAGCCCTCGAAGATGCCAGGCACAGCCGTCTCCTTTCTTGGTCTTGGGGCTCCTTACCTCTTGCTGCTATCCCCTCTCCCACCGGCACCACCTCCTGCCCTCCCCCTCCCAGCTCCACCAGCTCCAACACTGGTATTATTCAGTTTTATGAGAACCCCCCAGGCCTACCCTGAATGGACCAACAACTGGAACCAGATGTGCAGTCTTGCACATGGGGATGTGAGGGAGGGAGGGAGGAGGGTAAGGGCATGGCTGGGGGATGGGAAACCCTGGGAACCCTAGTCCTGGTGGCTCAGGGGAGGAGGGAAGGGGGGAGGGGGGAAAGGAAGGGAGCCAAGCAAACTTCTTCAGAAAGCAGTCCTCAGCGCGCGTGTGTGCGTGTGCGTGTGTGAGTGTGTGTGTGTGTGTGTGTGTGTGTGTGTGTGTGTGTGTAGGGTGGATAGCAAGCTGTGGGATAGATAGCTTCTTCTCTGAAGTCCTCTATCTCCTTAACTTTCTCTCAGTTTGTTTCGTTGGGACTTGCTGAGCTCCTGATTCTGCTCAGGTGCTGGGGTGATCAGAGAGGGTGGTGTTGGGTACAGGTAGAGAGTGCGGCCTCCAAAGGTTCTGGAGGGCAGCTGGAGGAGGACATCGCCCAGAAGCTCCTGCATCTTCTGGGACTCTGTGTAACAGTTCTATGGTTCTTGAGTCCTAGCAAAGTCAGTCTCCTGCTTATGTTTATATAGCTTCCAAGATAACAGTCTGTGTGCAATTACCTGGGTATAGCCTTGTGCAATATTAAGCATTTTAAAATGTTCTTTTATTCAGTTATTAACCAACCATTTATTGGCCATCTCTCTATCATTCATTCATCTGTTCTACATTTATTGAGAATCTACTATGTATCAATCTCATGTCTGGGGCTGGATAAAGTAGGAAAGGGAAAGGAAAAGCATGAATAAATACATCTTCCATTGCTCAACAAAGAGGCGATACAGAAGTACATGCACCTGGCATTGGTAAATGAGTAAAAACTGAGGGTGTGGTGGGGTTTGGGCAGGTGGAGGCAGTGCCCTCAAGGATGGGTTGAGGATGTGGCTTTTGAACTGAACCCTGAATGCTGATAGTGAGAAGAGGGAACTGTGTGTTGAAAAAGTTGGGGAGGCAAGGCTGTGAGATGGAGGGAGAGGGTTTGAGCCGGGGCTGCACCTAGAGCCCAGGCAGTGCCTGCTCTGGGCTGGCCCTGGTGATGCCAGGCCGTGGGGAGCTGGGGATCCTGGGATGTTAGCCCGGATAACATGGGTCGCAGGAAGAGCTGGGAGGATGGTGCCATCTGCTGCTCTGGAGACCTGAGCGTGTAAGCAGGTGCTTGATTTTATAGCTTACGACCATTTTCCTATGGAGAATCCTGTTCCTCTCTCCCCTGACCAGCACCTGAGGGGTCTTTAGTCTACAGTGGTGTTGGTGGTGGTGGTGGTGGTGGGTTAGGCAGGATGGGGCAATTAGGAGTCATCTTTGCCTCAGAGTTGGGGGTCAGTGAGTGGGAGCCTTGGCTTGGAGCTGGAGAGAGAGATGGGGAGCACCTGGCCAGGTGTCCCCACATAGTGTATCATTTTTTCATCTTTGCAACTTTGTGTAGCTTCAGTATTCTTGAACACTGAAGCTGCCACTGAAGCTATAGGTTCTGAGATGCCTAAATTTGGGAGTCTGAGAGCCCAAACTCTGCCACCTGAGAGGAGATGAAGTCGTCTTGTCTGCTTGTGGGGGGGAGGAATGTTGTTCCTCTTTGCCCTTCCCACATCTGTTCCAGAGAAGCTGCCCCTCCCTACCCACCCCTACAATTGTTTTGAGATTGGGTCTTGCTATATAGTTCAGGTTGGCCTTGAATTTACTGTGTAGCCCAGACTGGCCTCAAACTTGCAGCGATCCTCCTGCCTCAGCCTCTTGAGTGCTGAGATTATAGGTGTGCACCACCATACCCAGCAGAATATTATTCTTTAAAATAATATACAGTAAGTATGCAGCAAATAATTTTCCCCCTTCCTTTCAAGAGAATCCCATCTGCTGTCATTTTTTATCATTTATATGACTTTCCAATTAAACCCTGCCCCATTATTTTTCATGGGTTTCATTTTGGCAGATTTGTAAATGCATGTATCATATTTGAATCCTTTCTTCCAACACTTCCCATTATTTTTAATTACAAATAAATTCATACATATAGGAAGTTGACATGAGTATATGATAAACTCCCTAGATTCTACTCCGGTCTAAGTCTACCCTCCATACCTGTGGGGTTCACATCCATAGAGTCACCAATGCAGATTGAAAATATTCAAGACGAAAATGGACTGTTCTGACCATGTAGAGATTTTTGTCATTATTTTGAAAAAAGACTGGAGTACAACCAGATAACATTTACCCTGGATTAGTTATTATAAGCATTCTAGAGGTAACTTACAGGAGGCTGCACCTAGATTATATGCAAATATTATCCTGTTTTATAGAATGGCCTTGAGCATCTGCTGATTTGAGACGATGGTATTTGTTTTATCACATTTCCATCAATCCATCTCTCTCTCTCTCTCTCTCTCTCTCTCTCTCTCTTGAGACAGAGTCTCCCTATGTAGTCGAGGTCAGACTTGAGCTCATTCCATCGCTCAGACTGGCCTTGAACTTGCTGCCATCCTCCTGTCTCAGCCTCCAGATTGCTGGGGTTACAGGCATGCACCACCACACTTGGCCCTTCTGTCTTACTTTTTTGAAGTATTTCAAAGAGAGTTGACTTGTGCATTTCATCAACCAGAGCGCAGTTCCAATCACTTCTGAATACACAGTCACAAGGGTCCTTAAGGCCCAGGGACAAAGCAGGGATGGTTATCCCATATATGACAGCTAAAGAAAAAACAGGTCCAAGAAGGGAGATTCCTGGCTTGTGGTCACGGAGTGCGTGTTGGAAATGCCATCAAGGAAAGTGCTCTCAAAAGCTTTATTACCTCACTAGCTTCTCCCCAGCAGTTCTTTGGCCTTTTCCCGCATCTCTGTCTCTCCTGGGGGGTCCCGGGCCTGGTGGCGTTCTCATTCCTTCCTGCTTTCTTCCTGCCCTCCTCCTAAACCCCCAGGAAGCTGCTAGGCCAAGGGTTGCAGGAGCTTCACTTCCTGCCCCAGGTGTCCAGGCTTGGGCAATGGGGAGCTGGGCGCTGGGTGTGCGCGGTCCAGTGAGCGCCGCAGGGGTTAAAGGAGGCAGCAGCGGCGGTGGGGGGCGGCAGCCGCTGACTCCGGGAAGGAGGCGTGCACTGGCAAAAAAAGGGGAGCCCGACCGGCAGCGCCTTGCGCTGGCTCAGTCGCTCCCAGCCCTGGCCTTGGGACCAGCTCACCTCCCACCGCCCCACTCCCTCCTGGCACGAAGCTCACTCACCGCTTTTATCTTGGCAACTCCCTTCTGTTCAGCCAGCCACAGCGGCTGCCCTGCCACCGGCCCAACGCCTCCGGTTTTCGACCCCAGACCCCCACCCCACTAGTGGGTCCTCCGTGGGAAAGGTGAGATGTGTGTGTGTGTGTGTGTGTGTGTGTGTGTGTGTGTAGGGGATGGAGCCCACCAGAGCTGCCTGCGAGTCCCCGTTGATGCTGTCAAGACCTTAGGGTGTAAACTAGGGGAAGGGGAGGTCAGCCCCGCCCTGTCATGTCTCAGGGACCTGCAAGCCCCCCAGAGGCCAATCTGTCAGCCCCCTTCTTAAGTTGTTTCCTGGGTCTGGTGGAGATGTCTGGGGTGTGGCTGTCCGTGTGTCCACGGAGAGATCGACCAGTCAGGAGGAGTTTTGTTTGCTGGGGAAGTTGCTGGTGTCAGTGGCTGTTTGAGCCCAAGGCCAGCCAGGGGAGGGCATGGGGAGGGACAAGTGACCAAGAGGGCAGAAGGCCCAGGGTCTTTTCTGCTCCCTTCTGCCCACAGTAGGGCTGTGCTTGGGGAGGACAGCGAGAGGGGGCGTGAAGCTTTTCTGCTCTTCTCTGCGGTGCCCTGGGGCTGCTGTGGAGGCACCTTCCTCTCTGCTCCCAGAGGGCTGACCAGGGCTGCAGGGGAGGGGCTGCTGGCCCACAGGGTTACAGGTAAAAGCTCCCTACCTCCTTGTGGGTCTGGTGCTCCCTTGCCCACGGGCATAGCCAGGTACTCATGCCCCCTTCAGCCTTCCCCCAGCCAACAGGCTCATTCTCCCCCTCTGAGTAGAAATGGCTAATCCAGGTGGTTAATGAACAGACTTGGGCAGCTGCCTTCCACCACCACCCCTCCTGTCCCTTTCACTCTGATGCCCTGCCCACCACCCCTTCCCAGAGCTGGAGAAGCCACACGGAGCTAAGCCCAGTGTCCCTCCAGGCCCCCACTCAGGACCAGGGCCAGGACTGCCTGCCCAAATGTTTTTAGGCTGCGCTGTCCTAGAAGAGGAAACTGGGAGGGGGTGACTGGGGGGGGCAGAGAAGACTGACAGGGGGTGGGAGGAGGTTAGGGGACAGGATGGGTGCTGGGCTGGGGAGGGTGAGACTCCAGTTGTGGGGTGAGGACAGGAGGGGTGGCTGGAAACTAGGGTTCCAGAGTCTTTGGGGTCAGGGACTTCTCTTCTGGGTGGCAGAGCAGAGGTGGAATGGGAGGGCGTGAGGGAGTTTTTCCCCTTCCTGAAGCTGCCCAGGGCTGGGGTGGGGACCGCTGTGGCTCAGACTTGGCCTCAAGTCCCTCCTGCCCTTGCCGGTGGGTGACTCCTGTCTCCCTCATCTCAGTTCCTGCCTCAGGACCTCAAAGCTTGTTAGGGCTGAGGGACCCTCTGGTCCAACACTTCCCACCCAGCCGTCCCCTTGGCCTTAAACAGCACTTTCCCCTCCCTCTTCCCATGCTTCTTCATACTTCACTTCCCTCGGAGCCCAGTGCAGAACTTCCCATGGGGGTGGCTGTGTCCAGGAATTTTCAAGCTGGAGAGCTGGTGTTCAGTGGTGTGCATACGAGACCAGGAAAGAGGCTGCCATTCTGAGACCATGTGGGTGCTGATGGTCGTGGCTGATGCTTGGATCGGGGACCCCTCAGAGTCCTGTTTCTCCTGGCGCAGGAGCAGGAAGCAAAGGGGGTAGAATGGGTGTCTGTGTAGTGGAAGGAGTGAGGCCCAGAGGTGCAGCTCAGTTTAACAAGGAGCTTGCTTGTAAGGCTCTGGCGGTCCGTCAACAGGAGGGTGGGCTGCCTTGTAAGGTAGTGAGCTTCTTGTCCCGGGTTAGGGCAGACAGAGGCTGGACCACAGCTGGGGAGGATTCCTGAGCTGGGATGTGGTTAGAGACATGATCTTTAAGGTCTCCTGGGATACTGAGGTCCTGGGATCCTTGGAGTTGGGGAATTCTCTGACACCAGAATGGGGGATCGGGAAGCTGTCATTGTTGGTGTAGGGTGTGGGCACGGACAGGACTTTTAGGCATGGGGAACAGAGAGCCTGACACTCTGCCCTTGGACCAGCCCCTCCATGGAACCTATCTCTCAGCTCCCCATCAGGTTTCCCCTAGCAGCAGTTTCCTGCAACAGTTCTGAGGGCTTCCCATTCCTCTTGGTTCAGCGTGTCTTGCCCTGTGGCCGACTCCTGGAGGTTTGGAGTGGTCCTGTGAGTTGCATGACACAGTGGAGAGTGGAGGGGACAGCAAGTGCTATAGACATTGTCCCCAACCCCTACTACCAAGGGCAAGGGGTGAGTGCTATCATACTGGGCAACTTGAGATGAAGATGGTGGGCAGAAGAGCATCAGTTGAAGAAGAACCCAGGGCTGGGGCTCGGGTAGGCCTCAGTTTCCACATTTGTAAATAGCACAAGCTTATCACTGCAGCTGGAAGTGGCTTGTGTAATTGTGTGTGTGATCTCAAGGTCCTCTCTGGATGGAGGCTGGGTCGGGTGGGTAGTAGTGAGAGGCCAGGTAGTAGGGGTGGGCTTGTAGCTCTCCCCACCCCAAACGCAGGGCTCCTCAGGGTGGCTGTGTCCAGGTGGGCTTCCCTGGGTGGGTTTGGGACCCTCTTGGGCTCCACCCTTCCTGTCCCAGCCTGCCTATCTCCATGGCAGCCCCTGCTCTGTGGATGCCCTGTGACCCCTTTTCTCCTGAGCAGAGAGCCTGAAGGAGTAAGAGTCTGAGGTCATTAAGTTAGGGCAGCAGCTCACACTCCTGGCTTCCTCTGAAGGCGAGGAGTGTCCTGATTTCTAACTGGAGTCCCCTGTCTCTAGCCAGGGACTGGATTAGGATACTCTTGCCTCCAGATAGAAAGGACCAAACAGTAGAGAGCAGGGTACGGGGAAGAACGGAGAGCTAAGTGGCTTGCACAGGCTTTGGGGTGTAGGCCTTTGCTGCTTCTTCATTTATTTCCAGGGATGTAAGTCTCTTTGACCCCAGAAAGGGAAACTGAGGAATGTGTTTGGAGATGGAGGACAGAGAAGACAGGCAGGGTAGGCCTCCCAGTTACTAGCTAGACTTGGAAGAAAGTGAATCAGGAGATACGTGACTCTAGGGATGGGGGAAGGAGGTTTTCTGAGACGGGGAAGGACTTTTTTTCAGTTTGTCCTCAACCCTGTCACCCTGTGCCACTGGCCCCATGTCTCCCTGGCTGGCTGGTTCTTTAGGTCCCCACAGCTATTAGGCACAGTTGGCTGGAACGAGCATGGTGGGGTGGCCAGGCTGCCAGCCTCACAGCTGTGCCCAGCCATTCCCTCCTCCTGGTGCCCCCCGTCCATTATGCAGGATCACACCTAGCTCTCCCCTCTTTCCTTCTCCCACATGGCCCGAAGCACTTTCCTGTCCCCAGGGGAAGACTGGGGGAGGCCAGAGGTCTCCAGGTTGTGACCTTGGCCATCTTCCTACTTATCCCTCCTTGGCTGGTCTCCGTGCAGTTGGGGCTGGAGTGGAATGGGCTGGAAGGTGGTCTGAGCTGGTCCCTGGCACTGCTTCAACTAGGGCTCGCCTGGGCTCTGTGATCCCTGCCTTTTTAGGGCTGCAAGCTCCACTCAGGCCTGGGTGGGGAAGCAGAGGGCCTGGCCCAGAAGGGCGGGTTCCAGGGAGCTCATTGGGATGAGGGTCACAGGATTGACTGGCTGGAATCTACTCTCTGCATGGGGAAGGTCCCAGCTCTGGTTCTGATTCTCCCAGGAACCTTCCTAGGCCTCCTGCGGCAGAGGTGGAGCCCCCCCCCACTGCCTTTGATCTCTGTAAGTTCCCGGTGTGCTCACCAGTCATCCAGCAGCATCACTGGTCCCAGAGGGCCTGGGACAGGACCTGATGAAGATTTGTTAGTCAGTGTTTACCGAGAGATGTATATAGCCAGGCGGAGCGCGGGAGCCACATGACAACCCTTTTATTAGCTGAGTGGGCTTGGCAAATGACTGGATCTCTGTGAGCCTCAGTTTCCTCAATGTGAAATGGAATAAGGACCTGTTTCATGGCATGTTGTGAAGGCCAAGTGAGTTAGTTTATTTAAAGCACTTTGAGTAGTGCCTGGCACATAGGTTGTGCCCAGGCAGTGTTAGTTGTGGTTAGGATAGTGAAGGTCGCATGTTTGTCCCAGGGCCCACCTCTTGGTTGACCCTTTTATCTCTCATCCTGGCTGTTTCCTCACTGAGGCAGGGAGGATTAGGGGACTCAGGAGTGCAAGGGAGGGTGGCTTGGCTTTCCCTTAAGGAGTCTTAGCATCACAACCCAGAGTCTTCCTTTCCCCAGCTATGTCGCTCTCTCTCTCTGCAATTAAAGAGAAGCTGGGAACTGAGGGGACCTCTAGAGGCTTCATCTCCCAAGGGAGCCAACACAGATCTGTGTTTATGGAGGACTCTGAGAAAGTTGCCATCACTGTAAACAAGACACGTTATTATAAACCAGCCCAGAGCCAGTCATGGTGGTGCATGCCTGTGATCCCTGCACTCTGCAGGGCTGAGGCAGGACTGCAAGTTTGAGCCTATCCTGGGTAGGGAATGTTGCTCAGTGCAAAGGCCCTGGGCTCAATCTCTGGTACAAGAAAAAAAAGCCCAGCTGCTGTGTTGGGATCCCTTCCCACCCCTCCAGGAAGGTCACTGAATCAGAGCCTCTCAGGCCTGGCAAGGACGTGGTCCAGCCTCCAGGCAGGCTACTCTTGACCTTGGACTCTACTCATAGGAGTGACACCTACATTTTAAAGTGGGATTACCAAATAACTGATGCAAGTTGTTGTGTCTTATACCCTGTAGAACTCCTGGAAATTTAACCTGCGTTCCTCCTGCTGCGACTCCCATTCAGTCATTGATGGAGTTTGGGGAGAGCACTGTCTAGCCCTTCCTGGATACCATATAAGCTGACAGCTTTGAAACCAGGGAAGGTTCAGGCTCCTGTTCACACTGTTTCTCCATCCCAGGCCTCTGCCCTCTCCTGGGTCCTCCAATTTCCGGCACCTCTGACATTCCTCATTAGCAGGGGTCAGCCCCATGGCCTGCCAAGCTGGCTCTCCACCCAGCCTGAGCCCCACCCAGGGAGGCAGGGGTTGCTCCATTTCCGGACCCCTGACCCACCCAG